CAATTGCCAAGCGGCTGAATTTTGATCACATGACCTTGGGGATGCTGCAACCGCCATGTGTGAAAAACGGTCATAAGTCGCTTTCCCAGTGCCATTATGACTTCAAACGGTCACTAAACGAATTGTCAAGGACTACCTGTACTGCTGACTCTACCATTTGTGATGGAATAGCCTCTTACATTTCAGAACTTCAGCGCTTACTTGAACTTGGGGCAAAAAAGAGCCCAATTCTGATTCTAATTACAAAAAATGAAAGTAGCAGTTTTAGCACAGTAATGCAGTGCCACAAATATATGATATGGATGCAACCATAATAAATTGCAGAATAGAAAACAGAAGGCATCTGCTGATGTCCAGGTACTATTCTTGGTCCTAGCTCGTTTTTCTCATTGAGACATTTTTAAATTTAAAATATTAGCCTGTCTCTAATATATGCGGTTTCTGAAAGTCAAAACATGGATTCTTTCTGTTTTTTAAAAAAGTTTGAAACCATTACATATGGTTTACACAATTATTGACCATAACATAATTTTTAAAACGATTTAAGTAATCTGGTCCAAAGGCCAATGAAAATAACTACCTTGCTGAAGCTAAGGAGGTTTGCATGCTGTGAAATTCGATGTATTATTTCAAGCTTAGGCAATAGATAGATACATAGATATGGCTATGTCAAGAAGGGGGGGCTTGCAACAAAGTGAAAAAAATATATTTTGTTTTGACTAATTTGGAATAGGTCCCTATTTCTGGCTCCACTGCTTGCACAAATTCAGAAGCAGATTCCAGTATTGGGGAATTGACGTGATTAATTGTTAACAATTGGAATCAGATGTGAGAAATTCCAGCTTGTACCTCTGCTCCTCCCTAAAGCAACATATTGAAGAGCAAGCCATGAGATCTTCTTGAGATATGATGAAGTTACATTGATGGATCTGTTTATTTGATAAATTTGATAAATTTATAGACCTACTACATAGATGACTGGATTTCAGGCAGTGGTGGGCCTGTTCTGTGGATTCTCAGAGCGTGTGAAATTCCCAGGCAGAGAGAGATACATATGGTCCAATTTGAAGATACTTTATTAAAGTAGTGTTTTGTTTGCTTCATCAGAAACCTTTAGAGCAGTGGTTCCCAAACTTTTTCAGTCCACCGTCCTCTTGGTGCTACAAACTGATCCTCAGTGCCCCCCCCACCCAGTGGTGGAATTCATTTTTTTTACTACCAGTTCTGTGGGCGTGGCTTGGTGGGCGTGGCTGGGGGGGTCATGTGATTGGGCGGTTTGCATGACGAAAGGAAGATAGTAACAGTAAAATTCAAAACTGTATCAATTAATTGCATAAT